GAAAACACACTTGGAATTTGCAAAAAAGCACCTAAAGAACCCTCAGACTCTGAGAAACAAGAGTCTCTGGTCTGATGAACCTCAATTCTAAGCATCATGTTTGAAGGAAACCAGCTCCGTTCATCACCTGCAGAGTACCATCCCAAAAGTAAAGTGTGCTGGTAGCAGCCTCATGCTGTGGGGCTGTTTTTCAGCGGCAGGGATTGAGGGACTCGTCAGATTAGAAGAAAAGCTCAATGCACCAAAATATAGCGATAGCATTGATGAAAACCCAGTCCAGAGCAATCAGAGTCACGCATGTGGCACGCATCTAGCATCTGCGACTGAACATGTGGCACTTTGATCCATATATGTTTCAAGAACTTCATTAGTTAAATGGTTCTGTTTTTAGGTAATTATTTACTTGGCCATTTGTCGATACTAGAGGTGCTTCACAACACAAACAAATAAAGAAACGCACTGTAAAAACAGAAACGTGCCGCAAATGCTCACAACACAACCAAATAAAGAAACACGCTGCAAATGCTCACAACACAACCAAATAAAGAAATGCGCTGCAAATGCGCACAACACAACCAAATAAAGAAACACGCTGCAAAAACAGAAACGCATGGCAAATGCTCACAACACAACCAAATTAAAAAAAAGCACTGAAAATGCTCACAACACAACCAAATAAAGAAACGCGCTGCAAATAGGCACAGACCACATCGGAAATGTTTAAGGCAGCGGTTCCCAAACTGGGGTGCGCGCACCCCTAGGGGTGCACAGACCGACCAGCAGGGGTGCGCAAGAGAATGCTTTTGATGATCTGTGTGCTTTCAAAAAGAGAATTTTACTTGCCCGACCGGACAACTAATCTAATCTTATTAAAACATCGAATTAGGGAAGCACCAAAATTTCGGCGAGAATGATTCTGATTTTATTACACTTGGTGTAAACGGCAATTCATAATGGATAATTAATAGTAACAAGGTCGCGGCAGTTGAGACTCACGTGAGACAATCTCATGGAGAAATCGAGACAAATGAACACAACTGCACACAGAAGAAACATACTGCGGTAAAAAATTTAGTTTTTATATTTATTACATAAAGCCTAGCCTAATTAATTAACATGACACGACTAAGAGAGTGCAGTTTTCCCCGAAAATCAGTACGATTGTAAATTCGACATTGATTTTAAACAAGATTTCAAATGAGTACAGGGGCGCGGGAAGATGTTTTCGGTTGGGGGTGCTGTGTGTGTCCGTGTTGGGTGCTGCTGGTTGCAGCAATGCACAAATAAAGAGCCGGGACAAAGGTTTTTAAGACGTGCTTGCACCCCAGCAAGGCGACCAGACATATTATGTGCGCCATCAAAACAATACTCTTGCAGTTTTTCCAAAGGGAGATTTAAACGCAAAAACACGTCTTTCACACAGGAAAACAACGTTTCAGATGTAGTGTCTGGTACGTTATAAAACCCTAAGAATGCACTTTGCTGTACGAGGCTTGCGTCAACGTAATACAGGTGACAGGAGAATTGCTCATCCGAGCGTATGTCCGTAGTCCCATCGGCAGTAAGACCATAGTATGGACAGCTCGCAGCCCGAGAGACAATTTCACGTGCAAGACGTTCTAGAATTTCATTCTGTATTGTGTCAGACATCCAAATGTCTCTCTTAAGCAGCCATTCACGAGCTGCTGGTGACGAACGCGTACGTTCAAGCATAAGCTGCCAAAATACGCCATCACGATGAGACCGGCCTCTCACAGGCAGACCCTCTCGAGCTAAAAATTTAAGCGATCTAAAGGCCAGCTCCAAAACTGTCCTGGCAGTGTTTCGTTCTTTTGCTATCAAGTCTGAGAGCAGAGCATTTATGGGCGTGCTGTTCAATGCGGCCATTTTATTTACCGCTTCCAAATGAAAATGTGATTTCTCGTGTTCTCTGAATTTTTCTCCCGCCTTCCGCCAATTCGTAAAGCCTGCTTTCACAAATGCAGTCTACCCTTATTTGTTCATCATTAATTAGCTTCTTCTGTACGGCAGAGCAGCAAATAAAACATAAGGCTTTGTCCGTATCCTTTATATAATGAAGCCATTTCCACCTCAAAAACCAGCCTGCTTTAAAGCTTCTAACAAAGGTTTCATTTCCAAAGCGCCTTGTTGGAAAATCATAATTCATTGGTTGAAACGGTTCGTTTTCTACACCTTTAGCTGGCTCTATGTTATCTGAAGGGGAGTCCGGAGGAGAGATATGCAGGAGCTGATCAATCTCGGGGGTTGGGCTGCTGGGTCCGCTAGGCTTACTTGTCTCTGTGCTCGTGCTGGAGCTGGTTCCCTTGCTTACGTCGGTGCTCGTGCTGGGGCTGGTGTGGATGCCAATTTTGGAAAGTTTTTGCTGGGATGGGCATTTAAAAAAATCGGAAATTCGCTTTTGCGCCATTATCTCCTAGTTTTAAAGTTAATCTTGTTCGCATTCTGTATAGTTCATGTGTGATACCGCGCGCCAGCGTCACGTCACGTGTTCATGAGGATTATGATAGGCTAATCCCATATAGAAAACATCACAAGTAAAATTAATCATATTTATAAAGATAAGCGTGGGTTTATTATAGCCCACCTACAATTTACATTTCAGAGATTATTACAAATAAATTATTAAATGATAAAACTGAATAAATTTTAAATGAACAAATTTGGCGTTGCATTTGCAACCCTGTGAAAACAGGGGGTGCTGCAGCACCCCTACTTCCCGCGTCCCTGAACGAGTAGTTAATATTAAGTGACTTAGGGCATATAAAATAATGTGTTTTTTGAACATTAAAACATGTCAACATATTCTGTTACACCAAATACACAAAATAATGATCTTTAAAAAAGCATCATTTGACCCCTTTAAAAGTAACTTTTTTTTTGTATTTATTTTATAACTTTTCATATTTGTAAATAAAAAAACCTTATGTAAAAAAGAGTCTTATTATATTAAGTGAAATTATTAATAAAACGTAAGAATTTTATATGAAAGATGACACATGCATTTAATAAGGTTAGGGGGAAATGCCCTTTTTATAGTCAAAAAAATAAAAAAAAAAGACCTGGAAATCAATTCAAATAAATTTGAATATGCAGTAACTTTAGTCATATAAAATGCAATTTTCCAGCAACATAGTTAACAAAACTACTAAAACTTGAACTAAAATTAAAATGAAATGGAAAATAAAATCTGATTCAAACTATGAGTATTTCAATCCTAATCTGCAAACCTGATACCAACCAGCAAAAAAAAAAAAAAAGGATGACTATTCTGTATGCTACTATAGTGGCACAGAAATTACACATTTCACCTTTAACCATAGACAAAGAACATCACAACACTGTCATTCTATTTACTGAATGTCAAATATGGCAATTTTCACAAACTGGCCCTTTTAATAGCAGCTCGCCAAATAACCCTTATTAAAGCTGTTAGAAATGTGCCATTTTTTCCACTATAT